GCTGCCTCCCAGCATCGCTCAGGGCTTCCAAGAAAGGATGGCTGGATGGATTGGTTTCAACAAGCCCCGCGCGGCCCATGAGGCGTCCATCCCGCACAGCCATGCAGGGCTACCGCCTGGCCGCTCGACTCCGGGCATGGTGGAGCTGAAAACAATAAGGGGCCTGCATTTGGCCCATCATTGGCTAGGGAACTTGCCTGGAGTATCTTAAACACTGTTCATGCCATGTAAGGTTCAGACAAGTCCAGACAAGATTATCCAGACAAGTTCAGTGGTATACACGGTGCAGGATGGCCTGCTAACGGACATAGGATACTAGGATTATATCCAGCACTGCAGCGCGCCCTTGCTTTGTGCTGCAAGTGGCCGACCAAGCTTAGGAATGTGAAATGCCAAAACTAGGGGAAGATTTGAGGATTAGGCATTACCAGGCTGCTAGTGAAGCTTTGCACCCTTCACGTCGGGTCGATCTTTTGCTTAGGTTCAGCCCAAAGGTTGGTGCCTTTGACCACACCAACGGGTGAGGACCAAGAAATTGACCCAGCTTTAAAGACACCAGCTTGGGTGCAACCCCACATTCTCTCCCTTTCACTGCACCCCCCAAGAAATCAGTATATGTTCAGAGCTTTTGGGCTGCTTTCTCTGCTAGCCATTGGGGCAAAGAAGGCGTCGGGATCCGAGGACAAGATGCTTCTGGAGCCGCCCTCCGGTCTGGCACCAAGACGGCCGAATGGGCGCGTCTTCGCCGGGAGGATTTGTTTGTCTTCTCCACTGGTGAGAAAGTCAGAGGCTGACTCTTTTGCTGCTTTGCCTTTTTGGACGCTTTGCAAAGAAAGGTGAGAAAAAACCATACCAAGTTTCAGTAAAAAGGATGGTTTTCTGCTGTGTTTTCTGATGGCTATGCGTCAGAGAAATGTGCCCTCCCACCTTCCCTCCTACAGACTCTTCCTCTCCCTCCAGACAGCCGCGCAGCAACCCACCTCCCTCCCACCCTCCCCCCCCTCACCCGTGCCCCCTCGCCCCTTCTGGCCCGAGGCGACCGCTCGCTGATCACCTCGGAGGGCTACTGGGTGGGCGAGAAGGGCTTCGAGAAGTCCCAGCCGCTCGCGTTTCGACGTGGCCGTGGTCGAAACCGTGGTGGATCCGAATTTGGGGTAGGTGCACCACCCATTTTAGCTTATGTGGTGGATCCCATTTTGGTTGGATTGGGTGAATTCACCACCCAATTTGGGGCTTCCTATTTTGGTGGTTGGATGCAGTGAAGGAGTGAGGCATTGGGCCACAATCAAAACCAGTTCGGGTGGATGGTTCGGCTAGTAAGGGACAATCCCCTTGCCATAAAATAGCTGCGGATATCCGCCTTCTGAATTCTTGAAGCATTGTTCTAGGATTACGACCATTGTAATACCGGGTTTTGATTGTGACTCATGTGGTTTTCGTGGGGGATGTCCGCTTGCAACATATGGCGTTGATGGATGGGTTGATGTACATGGGCGGCTCAAACACATGGCGCCCAAAATGGCACCTGGGCAAATGGAACCAAAGACTAGACTCTGCGTATCCCGAGCTCTTTAGTTTTGAGCCACACCCACATGTTGCAGAGAATGTGGCGGCAAATGAACAGTGCCAGGAGTCAAAAGCTTCTCTTTTTAGCAGGGTCTGTTTTATGGGTTTGAGTCGGGCAAATCTAAGCCATTGGCAATACCGTGTGAAACATGTGTGGTATTGCCAATAATCGAGTATTGCTAATTCACAATTGCCAGTATTGGCCGTTCCTTTAGGCTCACTACAGTGATCTCAGGTCGCCTTTGGGAAGGGCTGGGCTTGGCCTTTTGACCCCCAAAAAGGCTTGGTGCCGGGAGAACCCCGAAACCGTCCCAAAGTGGATCCGCAGCTTTTGTTGGCAGGCCCCTTTGGGTGACTGTTTCTTCCTTCGTTTTCCAAGATTTTATGTAGATTTGATAGTTTGGGGCTAGCTTTGAAGCCAAGTTGAGCTAATGTCTAAGCCTTGGACTTGGGAACGGACTGAGAAGGTATGGACATTTTGCAAGAGAAAAGGGCTCATATTTTTCTTTCCTGGGGAAACAACTTGCCCCCACCAAAAGCCGCATATCAGGGGATACTAAGATAATACCAGGGAAATCCTTGCAGATAAGATATTGCAAGAAAACAGGGGAGAGGAAAGACGCGTGCAGTGGATAGGCCTTCCTCCAAAAAAGTTCGGAACACCGCATGCGCGGGTAAAAGTGCATCCATCCATAGGTGCAAAAAGGGCAGATGAAAAAACAAAAACAACAAAAACACGGGCCCCATGGAGGGCCCTCTAAGCTGGCAGATTTGGCAAAGAAAACACTTTCACGAAATGCAAACCTTAGAGCTTGCTTCCGCCCACTGCAGCATGCATGGGACTTAGTCACCGTGACAACGTGGGGCCGCCGACCAACAAACTCACTCACCCACCCACTCACCCAACCAACCAACCAAGCAAGCAACCCAACCAACAAACCAAGCAAGCAAGCAAGCAAGCAAGCAAGCAACCAACCAACCAACCAACCAACCAAGCAACCTACCAACCAACTACCAACCAACCTGCCAACCAACCACCCACCCGACCAACCACCCACCCACCCACCCACCCAACCAACCAACCAACCACCCACCCAACCAACCAACCAACCCACCGACCGACCAACCAACCAACCAACGAACCAACCAACACCGCAATCACCAGATTCAGCAAGGAAGCCAAGATGGGTTCAGAACAAGCCGGGGGTCCATTTTTTTGTTCGGCTGCAGAGGCATTCTTGAGCCCGGGGCACATCCTAGGTGGGCGCAGGGCTACCGCTACCGCATGCGATGCAGCCCCGAGGAGGTCGGCGCCATTAGCTTGATGTCAACTTTGTGAGTTCTGTGAGTGAGTCACATGGTACCCAGACAGCTAACCCCAGTATAAGTGCAGGTATAGGTACAGGTCTCGGGTATACCTCCCCCAAAAAACCCAGTGAGTTGAGCGGAACTCTTTTCAGACAAACCAGATTCGGGTATCTGGAGAGACACATGCGGGGCTCAGATACCTCCACAAAGAGCTGAGATGTACCCCTTTTGCATTCCACACTTGAGCCTGTTTGGGCAGATGGATGCACAGAGGTCCCTGCTTTGTGTTGAGGGCTCAAATGAGCCACTATCAACAGATGAACGCGCATAGCTTAGCGAATCAACCTTGGTGAGAATGTACTACCTATTCACAGGAATCGATGCATCGCGGCTTGACCATAGATGGTCAACATGTCTGGCTATCAAGCCATCATACTGGACACGATTTTAGGAGGAATTCTTGTCGTCATGTTCAACTGTATTTTTGATTCTGAAGGCTATCCAGGTCAAAACTCGTATCATTTCTGAAAAGCATGCAGTTGTGATCCGGGGTATCCGGAACGCTGCCAGCTGATGTACTGTAGTTGGTTTAGTGAGCGCACTCAGAACATCCGCAGGGCGTATGTTTTGAAGGCAGCACAGGTCCAGGTGTAGCCCAAAGTGACAAGCAACGAGCTGTAAGGGAAAGCGTTGTAGATAGGCAGTTCCACGAGGTAATGATGTATGCCTGAAGTTTGATGGTCTGAGAGATCTCACTGACAAAATCATGAAGCAGCCGGCACAAGTTGGCCCAGAGAATCAGGCTGCTGTGGTAGGCCAATTCAAGCCATGATCATGATCATGTAGGAGATTCATGCGTGTAATTGTTTAGAAACCCTTAACCCTAAACCCTATACCCTTAACCCCGTTTTGGGCTAAGCTGCTCCGATCAGCTGCTTCTTTCAAAAAATCCTTCGCTTGCTGAGACCAAGAAGGGCATCGACACGGTGCCGATTTTTCAGCGCCGAGCCCAGCTTGTGGATACCCGGGAAGGGACCCCCCCCCCAATTTTGGGCAAGACAGTTTCAGAAAATCCTGGCTCGGCAAAAACATGGCGTGAGTGGAGTAGATGTTGCAAGTGACCAATCATACCTGTTGGTTGCTTGACTTGCCATATTGAGGCAAGACTTGCAGGGCTTATGCTTGTGGATTTTTAGACACTTGTGCACTTACTGGACGCCCTAAATGTGGAATGCAGAAGCTTCAAGGGGCTCCCTTTGGTCGTGATTGGACATCACTTTGACATGTGTTTACACGCTTTTGTGCATCATTCTCATTCAAAGGTGGCGCTCGCGCTGGGAGAGAGAGAGAGAGAGAGAGAGAGAGCAAGCTTTTGCAAAGGCCACTTCTCATTTTATCTTTTCGCCGCAATCAGATTTGGTGACTTGCAGATAGGGCTTTTAATCATGGCTGAGTACCACCGAGCCACTATATCTTTCTCATTGTGCCACTTTTGCGAGGCTGCTGGTTTCTTCTAAAGCTTGGGATTGGTTAGGGAGTTCATTTTATAGAATTCCCAACCGTTGTGATTAACAGGAAGTCATCACAAGCGGCTTTCGGCTTTCTTCGGATCTGTTTCTTTCACCCCATGTTTTCCTTTTCTCCACATAGCGAATTGTCGCATTCGAGAAAAGCACCACGCGAGGTTGGGCCCCATCAAGATCCGCGTCGGCGAGATGTTGGGGGGATCTGGGAACAACGAGAACCTCCGCGCCTCAATTCAGAGCGGTAGTGGGAGATGGGTGATGCTGCACAAAAAAGCTAAGAAGCATGCAAGGCTTCTTTGGCTGAAAGTGGGGCGAATCCGGGTTCGGGACCAAGCAATATCTATGAGATATATCGCAACTTCGTTGCTGTCTACTCGTATTTTGAGGAATGTGAAAGCTCCTGGGCTGAGCTCCGACACTAAACAAGACACAAAGAGGAAGCCCTTTTGTTGCCTTGATAAGCCTAGCTCAGGTTTGTATTCATGATTACCACCATCTTGAACTAGTAGCCTCTCGAAAAGGATGTCAACACCAAGGGGTAAGTGGACCCACAAATTCCGAGACTTTGAGAGAGTCAAGAGGTCAATATCCCCTGTGGTCATGAGCTTTCAGGCGGCTAGTGCAAGGCCCGTGCACTGCTTTCTTGCAGCAAGTTCAGCGAGTGCAAGGGGGCGGCCTCGAGTGGGCATTGCTGAGACTCTGAGGCCGGCTGAAGAAGGAAATTGCCCAGGCGGGCCTGGATGACCCCAAGAAGATCGCCGAGAACGAGCCGTGGCCCAAGAACTTCGCGACGCCGCCCCAAAGGATCTGGGCCTTGTGGAGCGCCCTCTTTGCCCACAAGAACCAGGCGGTAGGGACGCCTGGGTCATTCATGTTTCAGCACACGGCTGAGTCGCCCGCCCTTTTTTTTCTTCTTCTTTAAAGTATCACAGTGCAACGCATGACCCCCTTTCAGATTGGCTGCAGCGTGGCATCCGAGAATTCCTTTACCTTGAACTGCAGGCAGCGTTGCTCTAACACGCCCCTGCAATTATCATTATCACTCCTGCTGCTACTGCTGCTGCTGCTGCTGCTGCTGCTGCTGCTGCTTCTGCTTCGCGTCTCCAGCTCCTCCCTCTCGTCCTGTTGCCGCTACTTGTCCGACCTTCTACTACAGCCTTGACCTTGGCTTGTTTTGCTTCTGATTCCAGGATCCAGAATCTCGGGTGGACATGTCGATATCAACACGGTGATCCTGGTGAGCCGTCTGATACGTTATGATATGCAACTTTCTGAGGTACTGGCTGGCGCGTTATGGCCACAAGCGCCGGGAGCTCGGGCTGGGGGACGCTTCCGGAAAGTATCATGGCAGGAGTGTCACGGCTGACGGAACTTAGGACCTCAACTGGGGCATTCTGGTACCCAAACCCTTTCAATGGGGCCAGCGCTCTAGGTGGCGTGAGTTGCATTTTGGGTTTCCTCCTTGTGCGTGATCCGACGTTCAAGCATGTTGGAGCCTCTGTCAAGATGCAATTTTATTGCGGTAGCTCGCAGAGAGATTGGCGTCAGATGGACGGACTGGTTGAGAAGCCGGGTCAACACACAAGAACAAAGAGCGGGTCTTCGCAAGACTTGGCCTTTGGTGCATTTTGCTTGGATGTTAGGACTTTAAACTTTTTGCCAACTAATGAGTTTTCCGTACTAAACCACCAAAAGTTCCGTTTCACAATCAACAGGTGTCTCTGGCTGCATCTAGCGGACCGTAACAACAACAACAACAACAACAACAACAACAACAACAACAACAACAACAACAACAACAACAACAACAACAACAACAACAACAACAACAACAACAACAACAACAACAACAACAACAACAACAACAACAACAACAACAACAACAACAACAACAACAACAACAACAACAACAACAACAACAACAACAACAACAACAACAACAACAACAACAACAACAACAACAACAACAACAACAACAACAACAACAACAACAACAACAACTAACAACAAACAACAACAACAACAACAACAACAACAAACAACAACAAACAACAACAACAACAACAACAACAACAACAACAACAACAACAACAACAACAACAACAACAACAACAACAACAACAACAACAACAACAACAACAACAACAACAACAACAACAACAACAACAACAACAACAACAACAACAACAACAACAACAACAACAACAACAACAACAACAACAACAGCACCAGCAACAACAACAACAACAACAACAACAACAACAACAACAACAACAACAACAACAACAACAACAACAACAACAACAACAACAACAACAACAACAACAACAACAACAACAACAACAACAACAACAACAACAACAACAACAACAACAACCACAACCAACAACCAACAACAACAACAACAACAACAACAACAACAACAACAACAACAACAACAACAACAACAACAACAACAACAACAACAACAACAACAACAACAACAACAACAATAACCAACAACAACAACAACAACAACAACAACAACAACAACAACAACAACAACAACAACAACAACAACAACAACAACAACAACAACAACAACAACAACAACAACAACAACAACAACAACAACAACAACAAACAACAGCAACCAACAACAACAAACAACAGCAACCAACAACAACAACAACAACAACAACAACAACAACAACAACAACAACAACAACAACAACAACAACAACAACAACAACAACAACAACAACAACAACAACAACAACAACAACAACAACAACAACCAACAGCAACAACAACAACAACAACAACCAACAACCAACAACCAACAACCAACAACCAACAACAACAACAACAACAACAACAACAACAACAACAACAACAACAACAACAACAACAACAACAACAACAACAACAACAACAACAACAACAACAACACCAGCAACACCAACAACAACAACAACAACAACAACAACAACAACAACAACAACAACAGCAACAGCACCAACAACAACAACAACAACAACAACAACAACAACAACAACAACAACAACAACAACAACAACAACAACAACAACAACAACAACAGCAACAGCAACA